GCAGTCACTGCAGAGTCGGTAACGACTGAGCGCAGATTAAAATAAATAAATAAATAAATAAGGGAGATAGACAAGTGAGGTCTAATATTTTGTTAATTCCATTACTTTTTTTAAAATGTTGGTATGGGAGCAATCACACATACAAAAAACAAGTTGAGAAAGAGTAGGTGAAACAAACCAGCTCAGTTTTCAGAAGGATGATCTGATTCATTTTGGATTCTCATTAGAGAGAGAACTTAGCATTCTTATCATGAGTTTTAATCCAAAATGTGTCTTACAACCTCTGGGCAAGCAGGTTACAAAACTTTGCCCAAACCAAAAAAGGGAGAAATTTTGGGGGAATCCTAATGTAGCCATTAACTTTACAAAGGAAAGAGCACAGGGAATTAAGCCACACCATTGGAGTATCTATTGTCTGCTGTGACTGGAGGAACTCCAAGTTGAGGTCCTTCTCATCAACAGTTACCTGATTCTTTTTAATCCAGGGATGCCAATCCACTGTCACTGAGCTCCTTCAACCTTCCCTTCCCCCCACCCAAAAGGCCAGAATGAATGATTGCACGTATAATTTAGGTAATAAGACACAGGAACTTCAAGAAAAAAGAATGTGATTGAGTAGCCCAAGTTGCAGAACTGGCTCTTTAGATGTCTGCATCAAAATTGCCCTTCCAATGTCATCTCAATAAGGCATTTTATTTATATATATATATATATTCATATATATATATGAAAAGACTCATCACTAAGGATATGTGAGCACCTCCCCACAATATCCTGTTTAATGGACTAAACAGGAACTTACCGTGAATGTCTTAATCTTTGCATTATATTCTAGACCTCCAGGTAGGATGACTGATATCCGGCGTGAACTGTGTCCCTTCTAACAATAGGAAAACAGGAATCAGTACAGTATAGGCATTTTTGTTCCTAACTGAAAGCCAATTCCTGGCAAAATTGAGCACTTTGATGTCCCAGTAAGAAATAGAATTAAGCATTTGAGTATTTCTCTCCTTGAAATAAATGGAACTTGAAGCTAAGTTTCAGTTTAATATTTGATTAAAAAGATAATTTTGATGAAGGCAAGTATGTGAACCATCTGAGCTAGTCTGACTGATTATGTCTTCAGCATATAGTAAGGGAAAGTTGATTTCTGGGTCATTATAATCACAGATATGATTATGATCCATATAGCAGGTATGGATCTGTTTTCCTTCAAATATTGTTAGCACATCTATTATTCCAGAGAAACCCTGTTTGTTCCACATAACACATGTTCTGTCTTAGACACCTTCCCTTAGACACCCTTCCCTTAGACACCCTTCCTTTAGATACCCTTCCCTCCAGGCCTGTAATCATCTCAAACAAGAATTCATTTGACCAACATATTCCTCTGGCTTAATTCTTCAAAACTTCTTAATGAACACCAGGGATGTAAAAGAAATTTATTGTAAATCCCTATGTGTGCAAAATGATGTGACCTGTCAAAACAGATTTTGACATAGCATGAATAGGTCCATAATTCGCCTCTAAAAATTCACCCCCAAAAGTCTACATTTAGAAATAGTCATGCAAAAATGCGGGAAAATTGTGTCCAAAAATAATGTATCTTGGGGTGGTTGTGCTCTTTAAATAGAATATGCTGTGATGTGTTTTTAAAACGAATTTAAAAGTTTGTACAAAATTACCCCGAAGTGAAAACAGTGGAAATATTCATAGTAGGGCATAAGTCCTCCAAGTAAACTAGTGCCTCATTACCAGATCACGTGCATAGAAAGGCCATAAAAATAAATTTAAGGCAGGAGGATACTGATTTTTTTTTCATCTAAAGGCAACTCCAATGGAAACAAAAATCAATAAAGTCCTATAACAATCAAGAATAAGTTATGTCCTCACCAAACCTAAATAGATTCCCCCCACACACAACTTACACAAACATACACAGAAGTTTCTCTGTGTTTTCTCCTGTTCTGCCTCTCCACTTATACATATGTGGCATTTTTGGCTGTCCAGAGAAAGAAGAAAGGCTTAGAAGCTGGTCTCAGACTCAGTTGTTTGTTCTGCCTTGCCTATGGACTTCCCTCCCAGGCCATTCTGCCCCATTACCATTCAGACTCCTTGGAGGCCAACCATATCGGACTTGTGCCTGCATTTCACTGTCTCTAAGTCCTTTCTATGAGATATTGGGAGAATTAGCCTATCTTATCTGGGCTGAAAAAATCAGGATGACTGTTGGGGGCAGCAAAGGAATATAGACACCACTTCATCTAGATGTCATCTAGATCTGCATAACAGCCCTACAGGAGAACAGAAAGAAGCAAAACAGTGAAAGGCAGACAAGAGGTGATTCTGCCAGAGGATGAAGATGGTCAAAATATCAAATTCTAAAACATTTGGATGGTTCAACATAATTCTGGACATCAGGCCACCCTAAATATGCAACACTAACCAGCACAAATAAACCTTTGCTCAAAAAGCCTGTCTTCTCACACATCAAATTGTCCTCATTCCTTCATTTACCAGAAATGCTGTCATCTCTACCCCGAATGGCAAGTGTTGACGGCCTCCATACAAAATAGTTTTCCTCAGGTTGCTGTGGCAATCCCTGGCCATTCCTGGGAATTAAAAAGGACAGAAAGTTGAGCATATGAAGTAGAAAGTGTGATTGATGTCTAAAGAAGCTTCTGCTAAAATAGAATTAGGTGCTGGAACTCATGCATAGAGTTATTCTCCACACAAGACAGCAGGTTGGCTGTTGCCTTGTGACTATAAAAGGATGTTAAGAAACATACAGAAATGAGAGGAGAGGGGACAGTCTGCTAGCCATGGAAAAGCCCCACCAGATTCTTCACAATTGATAAAGTGCTCAGTAGGATCCAGAGAGTAGGAGGAGACAGATCAGGTACCTGAGCAATGGGTAGTATTATCAGAACAGGCCTGCTGCAAAAACTTGATGACGTAAGGCATCAAGGTGCTGGATGGGAGGAAGTATCCAGTCAAAAGGCTGAGGAGCTGCCAGCCACGGTGGCAACTGTCTCTGGAACAAAGAAAGAGACATGACATGGGACTTTGGGCACATCTGAGAGAGTGGAAGTGAAAAGATTTCTTCTTGACTAAAGGGGAAAAGAAAAAAATAGAATGTTGAGGAGAGACAAATGAGAAAAGGCGGGAAATGAAAAACTACAAAAAAAGAGGCAGTTGGAAATGTACTGTATTTATGGGTCAAGTAGCTTTGTGTACCTATTTGGTGTGACTGCATCTCTCCTAAGGAAGAGCAAAGAGCCTGAAGCTGCTCCTCCTCCTTAGAAGCTATATGTGGGTTTAGGGCACAGAGTTCGGAGAAAAGGCCTTGATCTTCAGACCCAAGGAGTCAAAGATGCGGCTGTAAGCAGCAAGGATGCTCTCACAGCACAGAAGCAGGCAAAGATGTCACATTGGAATCCGGATCCATGCAGCTGGGAGACAAAAGAGCCACTGGATCTCCTCCACACATGATTACTCCCTCCTCTTTCATTTTTTCTTTCCAACCAAACAGAAATCAATTATGCAAAGAGGCTCGGTTGTCCATCAAGATAACTTTCCCTACACAACCCAGACCAGGACCAGATTTTAGCATGGTGGGAGAAGCTGGAAAAAGAAAGGGTTTGAAAATGGGCCAGACTGGGCTTGGGCCTGTGGAGAAAAATGTTCCAGAAAAAAGGTCCTCCCCCCACCCCCCCCACATCCTTCTGGGGAAGCCAGCTGGGCATCAGCCTGGAAGGCTACCGACTGCTCCATTCTAAGCTCCCCTCCCTCCCGGTCACGGGACCCCTGATGCTGCCCATCTGGTTTCTGTGTCAATTCAGGCTTACCAATAAAACCCCTGGGAGGAGCTTCCCTCAAATTCAAAGGGAAAAAATTTACCATCTGTAATTAACAGTGGGCCTATCTTTTCTCTCCTCCCCACAACTGAAACAGGATAAATCCTGATTTATATCAGACTATAAATATCGCCTCTACATTTGAAGGTTATGACTAGAAGGACAGGGTTGGAATTGAATTTGGAGTACCTACTATATATTCTTATTTTATTTTATTTAGGAACCCACCAGCATTGCAGAAAAACAAAATTAAAAATAGACAACATTTCCACTAAAGCAGGGATGGAGAACTTATAGCCTCAGAACTGCAGGTAGCACCCAAGTGCTCTGTTTTGTAGTCCTTGCAGCCTTCTCGGTGATTGTTGAAAACCGAACAAAATTTGTCCTGCTATTTTGAAGTGGGAAATGTGAAAACAGTTGTGTAAGCCCCCAAAGAGACATATCACAGTTTAAAAAATACCATCTAACCCCCCACAACCCCCTGCCCCTCCAAACAATGAAACAAGGACTGGATCATCCAAAGATTGCCCATCCCTGCACTGAAAGTCCATAAACCAGAGAAGATGGGGTGAGAGCTTTCTGTAGGACTGCTATGGGATCTTTAAAAGAAACCTATGAGAGACATAATTGTACTTTGAAGTTAAAATCAGGATAATCCACATTTATCTGGAGCAACTCCCTATCACTATCTAGCCTACTCTGTAGAACTGTTGTAATAATAAAAAGAAAATGTGGGCTAACAATATATCATAAAAATAAATTATCTTGAAAACCCAGCATTTTGTCCATTCCCAGAATTTTAGGACTGGAGTCCATCAGACTGATGTCTCACTACTCCTATCTTTGCTTTTTCCTTTCCTCTAACTCTTTTTATTTATTTATGTATTGCATTTATATCCCATTGCAATTCAATGACTCTCCACAGCTTGTATGATTTACAATATAGGAAAAATATTTTAAAATTTATGTTATAATTTAAAATGTGCTAATAAAATCACACTAATAAAACCCTAAACCAAACCCAAACCAAAAGGCACTATATAACCAAAGTAAAATAATACAAAAATAAAATAAAAAGTGCATAAACTCAGTTAAGACATTCTCTGATAATTGCTCTGTTTTTAACATTTTTCTTGGAACCAACAAGGAGGGGCTAAGCCTTCTTCTGGCTTTAGCTTCCTTTACCTCTTGGCAGTGTGGGACAATGAGGAGTTTCTTGCTAAATGATCAGGCTGATTTCAACAGGAGGAGGTATTCCTGTAAGTGCCCAGGTGCTAAACCATAAAGAGCTTTTATAAGTTAAAACCAGCACTTTAAATAGTACTTAGGAATCAATCAGCAACCCATGCAAGGCCTGAAAAATCAGTGTTATGTT